ACACACACACACACACACACACACACACAAGTTCAGTTTAGAGTCAACACACTGCTTCACAGCAGGGTGACCCTAGTAAAAAAGTTATATATTTAATATACATTTATTTCAGTATAAATTTTAAGTATAGTTCAAATATCTATCAGTATTTTTGCTTTGGTGGTTTATTTTTGCTGGTATTGGTGGCATTTTTGTCTATTTTGGTGGCATTTTGTTGGTTTTGGTGTAAAAAAATTTCTATTTCGGTGACATTTTTGATGGTTTTGGTGTCATTTTGTTGATTTTGGTGGTATTTCTGCTGATTTTGGTGGCCTTTTTGCTGTTTTGATTGCATTTTTGTTGATTTTTGTCTATTTTGGTTGCATTTTTGTTGATTTGGTGGCGCTTTTGTTGATTTTGGTGGTATTTTTATTGGTTTTTATGTAATCTTTGTTGTTTTGATTGCATTTCTGTTGTTTTTTTGGAGTGATTTTTGTCTATTTTGGTGGTATTTTTGCTGGTTTTGGTGGCATTGTTGTCAGTTTTGGTGTCACTGTTGATTCTGGTGGCATTTTTGCTGATTTTGGTGGAATGTCTGTTGATTTCAGTGGTATTTCTGCAGATTTTGGTTGCATTTTTGTTGATTTGGTGTCATTTTTGGTGGTATTTATGGTGGTTTTTGTGTCATTTTTTGCTGATTTGGTGGTTTTTGTTGATTTTGTTGGCCTTTTTGTTGTTTTGATTGCATTTCTGTTGGTTTTGGAGTGATTTTTGTCCATTTTTGTTGCATTTTTGTTGGTTTTGTTGTCATTTTTGTTGATTCTGTTTCATTTTTGTTGATTCTGTGTCATTTTTGTTCATTTTGGTGGTATTAATGGTGGTTTTGATGTCATTTTTGCTGATTTGGAGGCATTTTTTGTTGATTTTGGTGGTATTTTTGTTGATTTGGTTGGCCTTTTTGTTGTTTTGATTGCATTTCTGTTGGTTTTGGAGTGATAAATGTAAATGTAAATGTAAGTAGAACAGCTGAATCAAGTAAAAAAATCAAATAAGGTCAGAAAGAGTTGGAGTGAGTGCAGCAGAAAAGAGTTGAGTACCGTATTGAGTGGTGAAATGAATGCAGCGCTCCACGATCACGGGAATGTCGGCCTCCGTCAGCTGCTGCTGACTCAGTGTGTCTCCAGAACTCCCAGCAGCCCTCTGGATGGCTGCCGCCCAGCCCTGGAAATCCAGCTTCCTCTCGCCCTCGATGTACAGCGTCCTGCGGGGAGACGTCCAGTTAGTCAGCATCCGCCCGCTGTCACAAACATATGAGACTTAACCGGGTTAACCTCGACCTGCTCACCTGCCTCGCTCCACCAGAACCAGAACCTCATTCTCCGGCTGGATCGCTGCACACGCACACACACACACACACACACACAGACAATCAATAGTGATTTTTGTAATCCTGTTGCAGTGCTGTAAGGTTGTGTGTGATGTTGGAGAGATTAGATCTGAAACAGTCGTGTTAAACACTCACTTTAATCTGTTTTTAAAAGCAGCACCTTCAGATGGAGAAAATAAATAGTAGTATTACAGATAACAGATTTTTGCACAATACCATGTAATCATCTTATCTGTTTTTATTTCTTGTGTTGGCCACTAGAGGGGGCACTTTACAACAATATGTGCATCAGTTAAACTATGGTGAAAGCTCATCAGTTTGTTCAGACAGCAAATTTGTTGTTTTGATTGCATTTCTGTTGGTTTGGAGTGATTTTTGTCTATTTTGTTGGCATTTTTGTTGATTTTGTTGGCATTTTTGTTGTTTTGATTGCATTTCTGTTGGTTTTGGAGTGATTTTTGTCTATTTTGGTTGCATTTTTGTAGATTTTGTTGGCATTTTTGTTGATTCAGTGTCATTTTTGTTAATTTTGGTGGTATTTATGGTGGTTTTGGTGTCATTTTTGCTGATTTGGTGGCATTTAAGTTGATTTTGTTGGCATATTTGTTGATTTTGTTGGCATCTTTGTTGTTTTGATTGCATTTCTGTTGGTTTGGAGTGATTTTTGTCTATTTTGTTGACATTTTTGTTGGCATTTTTGTTGTTTTGATTGCATTTCTGTTGGTTTGGAGTGATTTTTGTCTATTTTGTTGACATTTTTGTTGGCATTTTTGTTGTTTTGATTGCATTTCTGTTGGTTTTGGAGTGATTTTTGTCCATTTTTGTTGCATTTTTGTTGGTTTTGTTGTCATTTTTGTTGATTCTGTTTCATTTTTGTTGATTCTGTGTCATTTTTGTTCATTTTGGTGGTATTAATGGTGGTTTTGATGTCATTTTTGCTGATTTGGAGGCATTTTTTGTTGATTTTGGTGGTATTTTTGTTGATTTGGTTGGCCTTTTTGTTGTTTTGATTGCATTTCTGTTGGTTTTGGAGTGATTTTTGTCTATTTTGGTTGCATTTTTGTAGATTTTGTTGGCATTTTTGTTGATTCAGTGTCATTTTTGTTAATTTTGGTGGTATTTATGGTGGTTTTGGTGTCATTTTTGCTGATTTGGTGGCATTTAAGTTGATTTTGTTGGCATATTTGTTGATTTTGTTGGCATCTTTGTTGTTTTGATTGCATTTCTGTTGGTTTGGAGTGATTTTTGTCTATTTTGTTGACATTTTTGTTGGCATTTTTGTTGTTTTGATTGCATTTCTGTTGGTTTGGAGTGATTTTTGTCTATTTTGTTGACATTTTTGTTGGCATTTTTGTTGTTTTGATTGCATTTCTGTTGGTTTGGAGTGATTTTTGTCTATTTTGTTGACATTTTTGTTGGCATTTTTGTTGTTTTGATTGCATTTCTGTTGGTTTGGAGTGATTTTTGTCTATTTTGTTGACATTTTTGTTGGCATTTTTGTTGTTTTGATTGCATTTCTGTTGGTTTGGAGTGATTTTTGTCTATTTTGTTGACATTTTTGTTGGCATTTTTGTTGTTTTGATTGCATTTCTGTTGGTTTGGAGTGATTTTTGTCTATTTTGTTGACATTTTTGTTGGCATTTTTGTTGTTTTGATTGCATTTCTGTTGGTTTGGAGTGATTTTTGTCTATTTTGTTGACATTTTTGTTGGCATTTTTGTTGTTTTGATTGCATTTCTGTTGGTTTTGGAGTGATTTTTGTCTATTTTGTTGGCATTTTTGTTCTTTTTATTGCATTTTTGTTGGCTTTGGTGTCATTTTGTTGATTTTGGTGGCATTTTGTGACTCACAGAGCTCCATGAGCTTCTGCAGGTCGATGGTCTCGTCTGCGGTGTGCTCCTCCAGCCGGATGTGCAGGCTGGACCCCACCAGACAGAACCAGCCCAGTCTCGACATCTCCCGGTTCAGTCTGTCTTTATAACGCAGCCGGCCGATGCGCTCGAAGTCCTTCAGTAACAGATCCTCCGCAGCCGCGGGAATGAATGACTGTAACACAGACAGACGACATGAAAATGAGACACAGTCCAAACCAGACAAAACCTGTCAAACGGTTCAGAACAGGTGTGACGTCACCTTTGCGATGGATTTGACCCACTCGCCCATGGTCTCGGGATTATCAGTGCCGAACAGATACAAGCGCTCGGCATCCGAGTACAGCTCAAACGTGTGATCGTACCTAAAGAAAGAGACATGAATATTATCAGGCCCTACAGAAGAGAAAGGTGACAGTACTTAAACACACGCTGTGGGCCAGTTTACCCATGAGTCTCGGGAGCGTTGACAGCCAGACAGACGATCTCCTTCATCTTCAGTCCTCCGTTCGGAGTAGCGTTTTTGTCACTTTCATAGTAGCTAAAATTCCCGTCATTCAGCACACACCAGCGCCGACTGAACTCTAACAGACACAGACAGACAGAATCAAATCAAATGAAATTAGTCTGAAAACATTTTGCACATAACATTTCAGAAAATCTTCTATTCACTGATTGGCTCACCTTCTTTCCCCTTCTTCTCTGTGATTGGTCGAGCCATGGAGGCGGTCTTAAATAGAAACCCATTATGCGTGACGGAGGGCGGGGCCATGTAGTGCACCCTGTCTATGGCGACCTTCACCTCTGACCTCGGGAGTTCTGTAGGTCAAAAGGTCAACCGTGAGTAAGCGGTCGAATGTCAGCGGTCTTCATTTTAACCTTTAGGGTTGGGTATCGTTTGAAATGTATCGATTCTGATTCCGATTCGGTTTATCTATTCCGATTCTTAACTATTCCTAGTTTTGATTCCAATAAGGTTAAAAGAAAAAAAACATTTAGATGTCAAATATATTTATTCTGTGTCTTTTTAATAAGCATTCTGTTGTAGATGAATAACATTTCAAAAATCTGCAACACAGATGGTTTTAACAAAAATACCACATCAAAAACAACTAGACTTATATAAATGTAAAATATTAAAGTGTTAAAGACAAGTAAAAGCCGTAAAACAGTGATTCTGTCCCTTACATATTATTGGTGGAGTTCCCTTTAAAATCTTAAATGATTCCCTTTGAGCTAAATTGACCTGTTTCCCTTACAACAGTCAGTAATAAAATAGGAACAATCAATTAGCAATAGCATAAATAAATACAACTAGTGCTGTCAAACGATTAATCGCGATTAATCGCATCCAAAATAAAAGTTCTTGTTTACATAATATACGTATGTGCACTGTGTATATTTATTATGTATATATAAATACAAACACATGC